AACTATACTCTTTCCTATTAGGAGACTGACTCGAAATGTTCAAAAAATTACATATAAAATTCTTCTCTCTGCTATCTGAGGTGGCTTTATCCTAAGGTGACTGACATAGTCTGGAAGTAAGCAGATACGGTAGACGCTTGCTATGTAACCTACCGGCGAGTGGTTTACAGAGCTAAGGGACAATAATCATGCCAAGGGCGACTCTTGGTGGCGGTGTCAGTGAGTCTGTGTTGACTGTCTTCCTATGACCAGTACTGGGCAGCGCCCCCTGCGGCCATGTAGTTTCTCTGGCCAATGAGGCTATATGCAATGCTATTAAAAATAAGACCTTCATAACAATCTCACCTGGTTCATATGGCCATCACAGAAAAGAGTATAGACATTTCTTTTTTCAAAAAAGTTTAAAATAAGACGACCATACGCAACTCCACTCTTGTCTATATAGACAAAAGAAACAAATCAATATCAAAGAGACATCTCATGTTCATTGTACTACTCGCAATAACTAAGACATGGAAACCACCCAAATGTCTGTCCAAGAAAGAATAGATATAGGAAATGTATTATCTTTTTCACTTTGTTTTTGATTTGTTTTTCGAGATAGGGTTTCTCTGTGCAGAATTCACACTGTAGACCAAACTACCCCCAAGATCCACCTGCCTCTGCCTCCTGAGTGCTGCGACTAGTGTACGCCACCTCCTCTCAGCCTAAAAGGCAGTATCTTTATATGGTGGAATACTGTTCAGCCTTAAAGAAGAAAACCCTGACTATCATGACACTGGGCTAAATGAAATGAGCTCAGAGAGTAAAGCACTGTATGATCTCACATGTGGAATGTTACAATCTCAGACTCAAACAAGCAGACACTGAAAGGTTGGTTACCAGGGCCTGGGGCTTAGGGGCTGGGATTAGACAATGAACATAGTTTCAGCCAGACCAGCTGAATAACTGTAACTCTCTACCTGTAACATGGAAAAACAGTATCGTCCCCATCTGTGGTCCAGGGCATTTGTGATGCTAAAAGAATGTGGGAAAAAAAGCACATGATGCTTTGTACTTTAGCCTCAATGTGCGGAGTTTAAGATTTGTTATAGCATAATAATCAAATAAATTTTAAAGAAATAGAAAAAAGTAGTGGATACTCAATAAATTATTAATCTGAATCATTTAGCTATTGCTGCATAATAAATCACCTCAAAAATAGTGTGACAGAAAACAACCATTGTTTCTTGTAAGACACAGTTGTCTGGAAGCTCCTCCCATCGGGAGCTGGACTCCCGTCACGTGGTGAGGCAGTGACTGGAGGCGGGGCTTCTGATGCAAGGTGAAATGGGCTTTTTAGAGTCCAGCAGGTTGTAGGCATTATTCAGGACACAGGGAAACATCACCATGCCAAGTGTCATGATTTTATTTCCTTTGTGTCACTTTCTGAGTGGCATTTGTTGTTTTGGGATGAACCTATTAATGTTTACCTTGATGGAATCAGTAAGTTGTTCCTGTCCTTATTTTCTTCCAAGTTTGCCAAAAATGTCTTGGTGCTTCTTTTTTTTTTTTCCAGGCTTGCCTTGAACTTACAGAGTTCCCCATGCTCTGCCTCCTGAGTGCCGGGATTAAAGGCGTAATCCACCACCACTAGGCAGAGTCTTGACACCTCTACAAGAACCATTCCTTTCTTTCACATAATTTCTAGCTCTCTTCCTGGGAACTGCATGTATTTATGCATTGCTTTCAATAGTGAGTTGCAGGACTATTTATTTCCTTATCCCCTCAACAAATGACATAGCAGTGTTCATAAAAGCTTTTAACTTAAAATTTTGTTTTAATTATGTTTAATTGTGTGTATATATGTACATTCATACATGCATACATATGTGTGCACATGTGTTTGTGCGTGAGTGTACAGGTACCCTTGGAGGCTCAAGGTGCCAGATCTTCCTGAAGCCAGAGGTAGTTCTGACCTCCTGACAGGAGTGCTGGGACCTGAAGCCTGGTCCTCAGAAAGAGCAAGATGTGTTGGACTCCCATCCAACAATGAGAGATGCACTCTCACCCTGAACTCTTGGGGGAGGGTCTAGGCCCTGCCCTGAATGAAATGACAAACTATGAACACCCCCATAGAGGGCCTCACCCTCCCTGGGGAAATGAGGGGATATTGGGGGGGTTGGGGGAGGGCATGGGAGGAGGGGAGGGAAAGGCAGAGGGACCTGGAACTGACTTGTAAAGCAACCTTGTTTCTAATTTAAATTTAAAAATAAATAATAATAAAAAAGAATGTTCAATAAAAAATATATACATATGTATAAAAAATTTTTTTAAAAAGTGCTCTTAACAGGGAGTTGTCTCCCTACTCACTTCCCTTTTTGTTGAGGCTCTAACTAAGTAGCCTAATCTGACCTGAAACTGGATATATAGACCAAGTGTTCACCAGCGGGGAGCGGGGAGGGGGGAGGGAAGGACTTTAATAAACAAAGGACTGAATCCTTGAGATAAGGAAATATAGGAAAAACCAAGCATCGTGTTCACAGCTGCTTCCTCTCTGAGGCACTTTCCAACCCAAAGCGCAAAGTGGACCCCAGGGAAGGCTGGCGACTCCGCAGAGGTAGAGGTCAGAGTGCAGAGGTAGAGGTCAGAGTGCAGAGGTAGAGGTCAGAGTGCAGAGGTAGAGGTCAGAGTGCAGAGGTAGAGGTCAGAGTGCAGAGGTAGAGGTCAGAGTGCAGAGGTAGAGGTCAGAGTGCAGAGGTAGAGGTCAGAGTGCAGAGGTAGAGGTCAGAGTGCAGAGGTAGAGGTCAGAGTGCTGGCTGTGAGCCTGGCTGGCATCTGTTGATGGAGCCACTGAACCGAAAGGAACAGCACACAGCAGCCCCACGGCTACTCCCTTGTCTGTAAGCGTGCTTTTCCTGCTTGTATGTCGGGTTCCACGGCTATGCCTGGCGCCCCAGGAGGTCAGAAAAGGGTGCCGGATCTCCTGGACCAGGAGTTACAGTGGCTGTGGGCCACCATGTGGGTGCTGTGAACCCAGCCTGGGGCCTCTGTAAGAAAAAAAGTGTTCTTAACTGCTGAGCCATCTCTCTAGCCCCAAAAGTCTCTGTGTGAATTTTTTCAGATTTATTTTTACTTATGTGTATGTGTCTGTACATGCCACGTGTGTGCACCAGAAAACAATGTTGGATTCCCTAGAACTGGAATTACAGATTATTGTGAGCCTCCTGATACGGGTGCTAGGATTCAAACTCAGATCCTCTAAAAGAACAGTCAGTGCTCTTAACCACTGACCCATCTCACCAACCCCAACAGGTCTTTCTTAAATAACTTTTAGATATACAGTATGCTTCTAACCTTTTTCTGTCATGGATCTCATTAAGGATTGTTCAAACACATTCTTTTAGGTGTCTGTCAGAATTATCTGTCTGTCATATTATTTCTAGACTCAAGAATGGCCTCCAATGATTATTACTTCCTGGTAGCCATGACCCTGGGCAGTAACCTCCTATAATACAGAGAGCTAAGCCATGTCACCAATAAGATGCAGTCAAGGTCACAAGAGACATTGCAGCTTCCACCTTGCTCAGCCCTGGACTATTCATCGTGGAAGATGCCAGATGCCATGTCTTCAGAACGCAAGCAGCCCTGTGGAGATGCCTACGATGTGGAAGCACTGAGGTTTGCTGCTGCTAGCCAGCACCAATTGGGTCCTTGAATCTGCCACTGTGGAAGCAGATCCTCTGGCCTTGGGCAAGATTTCAGATGACTGCAACCTTGGTCTATGTCTTTGAAATGGCCCATGTCTCAGAGACAGAACTGCCCGATATTTCAGCTCCAGCATTTCTGACCCATAGAAATTATGCATTCGTGTTTAGTGTGTCTACAGATCTAAATGTTAGCAAAGGGAAGACTAGGAGAAGTGAAAAATATCACTGCAATGAAGAAATCGTTGACAGAAACCCAATGAGCTTCAAGGACAGGGCTGGTGAGAGCTCAGAAGGAAAATAGCTTTGGAGACCAAAGGAAAAGAGATTTCTGTTGTAATAGATGGCAATAGAAATTTAGGAGCATTTACTATAAGACAAGTACAGAGAAAAGGAAGGAAGGAAGGAAGGAGGGAGGGAAGGAGGGAGGGAGGAAGGAAGGAAGGAGGGAGGGAGGGAGGGAGGGAGGGAGGGAGGGAGGGAGGGAGGGAGGGAGGAAGGAAGGAAGGAGGGAAGAAAAACATGGAGTGAGGAGATAGACAAGTTGGTAAAGTTTTTGCTATGCAACCATAAGGACACAAGTTTCATCCCCAGAAATCAGTATTTAAAAATTAGAATATGGTGATTTCTGCTTTCCATCATAACAGTGAGAAAGCAGAGAGAGATTTCTGGAGTTTGCTGGCCAGCCTAGCCTGCTGGTTCAGTTCTAGGCCAGTGAGTGTCTCAAAAAAAACACAACCAGCACTGCCTGTCTTCTTCACCTCTATGAACTCCACCTTTGGAACTGTAAGTCAAAATAAATTATTCCTTCCATTAAAAAAGAGAGCTGGCTGCCCGCTGCCTCCATTACACAAGTGCACGCACCCACACACACCACACACAGCTGCATCTAAACAGCTGGATGGTGTAGCTGACAGAGTGTCACACAGACTGGTTGGAGTCTTCCTGCTCCTTAGCAGTATGTGAGAGGGTGGTAAACTGAAGAACTCTCAACCAAAGGAGACAAGACTACCTGATTCCAAAACTGTCCCAGTGACAGGCATAAACTGAAGAACTCTCAACCAAAGGAGACAAGACTACCTGATTCCAAAACTGTCCCCGTGACAGGCATAAAAGAGTAGCACGGCTTTCAGTCAAAGATCAACCCGGAAAAACACGATTTGAGGATGAAGCGGAGGTAACTGATGTCACAATTTGTTTTCATGATTTAGAAAATGTTCAGCAAATACTTCAGAGAACCACAGACTCCTGCAAAACCCAAGGGCATTGTCCTTCCGCTGTTTCAACAAAACCCCACTGTAAGGAGAGACTTACCTCAAAGAGATGTACTGGTGCAGCTTTTGCCGAATGAATCAAGCCTTGTGCAGGTAACGTACAACGTTTGGGAAACGTCCATCACCAGAAACTCTACAGGTTGAAATGAAGGTATGGAAACCATAAGACATTAAAATGAAAACCCACCTTCAGATACATAGACTTTAGTAGGCAGGGAAGAGGAGGAGGTACCTCTCCACTGCAAAAATATTGGCTACCTTTAATGTAGTGAGAAAGATCAGCAGGCAAAACAGAAATACCGGGTCTCACAGCCTAGAGCCATGGACAGCCACTCCTATGACAGGGCCAATTTGAATCTGAATTAGAGCATTTCCGGCATTTGTCTGGTTGGACTTCAAACTGCCCTGTTTCCCATTCAAAATGGGGGAATCCACAGCAGCCATTCTGCATGGCCCATCATTCTGTGTCAGCAGTGGGAGGGGCAGAAGGCATGTCTCCTTGGTCACAGATCTCCAGGTGCAGAGGGACTGAGACACTGAGGGGCCTCATCTGCCCCTGGACCCAACCCAGATTATGGGATTCTGAACTAAGCACAGAAAGGATGGGTGCATTTTGCATGTGTGAGAGACAGGAATCCCGGGGACTGGAGAACAGACTATAAGAACCAGCCGCCTCAATCATCCTTAATAATCCTAACCCCCTACCAACGTGTATATAAAACTGATCTATGCAACCAACAGGGGGCACTGCTGGCACATCGGTGGCTGTAGAGGGCTCACCGCTCTCACACTGGGGTCTCTGATAACTTACCGTGGGGGAAGCCCCTACCTCGTGATGAGGACACTCAAAACAGTCCTAGGGAGAGGGGCAGGTGGGGAAAGATGGAAAATCCCCACCAGCAACCAGCACTAACTCACCAAGCCGGCTGTGTGAGAGTTCTTCAAAGGCGACCCTCCATCCTCAGTCAAGCCTTCCCATGACCCCAGCCTTGGTCAGCATCCTGACTGGACCATCACGATGGATTCGGAGACAGAGTAATGCAGCCAAACTGCTCCTGAGATCGCTGGCCCACAGAAATTAGGTAATAAATGCTTATTGTTTTAAACCATTAAGTTTTAAACTATGTTTTAATTGACGGGTAACACAGCCTTATTTCAATTCCCAGCACCTAAATAAAAAGCTGAGCCTAGAGGCATATGGCTATAACCCCAGAGCTTGGGCAGCAGAGATGGGGAGATGCCTAGCACTTACTGGCCAGGCAGTGTAGCCAATTAGTGAGCTCTAGGTTCAGGGAGAGCGCTTGTCTCAACATATAAGAGAGGAGCTAAAGAGATGGCTCAGTGGTTAGAACACTTGTTCCTCTTAGATGGGTTCATCTTTCAGCACCCACAAGGTACCTCACAATCCTCCATATGTCCCGTTCTCAGGGACCCAATGCCCATTCCTGACCTCTGCCCTCTGCAGACAACAGGTACACTTGTGGTATGTACACACACACACACACACACACACACACACACACACACACACACGCAAAACACTCATACACATGGAATAAAAAATAATCTATATTTAAAAGTAGAGATCAGTTAAGAAAGACATACACACACACACACACACACACACACACACACACACACACATCAAGTGTGCTTAGAGACAGTGATGAGAGAAAAGCTGGAGCTACTTCCTGATTGCATCCTACCTAATTCCACTCGTGTTACAAAGAAGTCACACAAATTCACCCACTAATTTTGACTGCAGAATGCATGAGCACCACCTGTGTAATTCTTAAGTGTGTGTGTGTGTGTGTGTGCGTGTGCTTGTAATTGCTCGTTGTTGTAGGGAAGTTGTTGCTGAGTTTGAAACCACACAATTAGCAGGGAGAGAAGGACGAAGCAGCCAGTGGTGAAAGCGTGAACCTGACCAAGCTCACGTGTCACCGGGGTCCCCACAGCCTCTCATGCCCCTCTGACATCTCCAAGAGGAATAGGCCAGTTCTCTGCCACACAGCACTCTGCTCTCCCAGGCACCGTTGACTCACTTTCTCCAACATAACACAGTCTGTCGTCTGAGCAGACCCCTCACCCCCAACTGCATGTTCTACCGCCAAAGCCTGGTTGGTTGGATTGTTTCTTGATGCTTAAGGTGCAAGGTTCCATGTAGTTATGCCTCCGCTCCGCATGAATGCAAGAAGACGCTGTGTGACGCACAGACTAGCCACAGATTTGGCCATCCTTGGCCAGTTGCCTTAGCCCATGATGAATTCCATCAGTGTCAGGTCCAAAGAGCATGCCCCCAAAAGGGCAGGCCCACTGATTCCTCCAAAATTGAGTTGAGGCCAAGCTCAAGTTGGACTACAGAAGGATTTATAGTGGCTAAACAAAAGTCAGCATTCCTCAGGGACTAATGAAACCTATTCCCATCTACCCAAAGGAAGTATTTCCCTTAGCTCCAGCAAAAGGGACACATGGCTCTCCACTTGACATATATATTTGTGACTATCAGCACTTCAAAAGTCCATGCTAGCTTTTCTCACCCCCTCCTCAACCCCAGACTCCCTCGGGCTCACGGGTGTCCCTCCCCACAGCTACTCCCCCTTCTTACAATCCAGCTGTTTTATAATCTTCTAATCACTATTTCTCCCGGTTTCAGCACTACTTCCGCTTTGTTCCACACTGTTTCCCCTGTCTCTGCCCCCTGTCTTCCCCCTCTCTTGCAGGGAGCCCCTAGTCATGTCCAGTCTACTCCGCGCTCCTCACATGCCTCTGGATGTTCTCTCTCTCAGATCTGCGATAAAAACCTTCCCCTTGACCATGCCATTGGAGTGGCCATGTCCTCAGTTGATTCAATCATCTGTGTGCCTCTGCCCGTTTAACCCCCCGTCCCCTGAAGGGGACACCAACACAGAGAAAGGGGGATGCACACATGGGGACGAAACTAAGGGGCATGAAGGGGACAACAAGGGAACATCACCGCTGGAGCTGCAGGGACTGTGTGTACCTCATCTGGCCTGTTAGACTCCGCTCTCCAGGTACCAAGAGCTAGAGTAACGTCTCATGACGTCTGACCTTCCAGCCTCATGAGACAGAAATTCCTAAGGCTACTGTGAGTTAAAGTGCAAGGCTGTTTTTGACCTCTGCTGGGTAAACTCTTACAAGGAGCCTTTATATTGGGTTGTAGTGAATTGTGTGGAGATTGTGTACCAAATAAAGCTCCTTTCAAATAAAACAATGACACGGGATGATATCTGAGGAGACCCTGCAGGGACTATACATGGGACACTGATTGGGGGGACGAGATTCTCCCCATGTAAGGCAGACAAACTGCCTGAAACTAAAATACAGAGCAGCTTGTAATTTTAAGTTTTTAAATTATAGTAAAATCAAAGTAATCTTAATCTCTGTGCTTTCTCTAATGTGTATTGGAAAGATTAGACTCTGCAATTTTAGTAGGTAAAGGGGACTTTCCCATTCTTGGATGGAGAGCACCAAGCCAGAGGGCACTCCACATTTGTCTGAAGTAAACAGCAACCTGGCCTTGCAAGAAACAGAACACCTGAGTTTTCGGTGGTTACAGAGAATGCTGAGAAAGTTATCTTCAGCATTCCTCCAATAAGGAAGCTATTAAAATGCTACTTCCTAGACTCTCCAGGGTGTGGGTTTCCTATCACAGGCTCATAAGTCTTTGTAGCCACTCACCTTGTCTCATGAGATATTAAAAATTTCTCAAAAACAGATTTACAATTGATTATATTGCAGATTAATGTATAGCACTGTTGATAAGGAATCAAAGGGAAGACTTTAAATGACACAAAATAAAAAATGGTGTATTGGGATCTAAGAAAATATTTGAAGGTCATAGCTCTGTAGGCAACTCCAGAGTAACACGTGGAGATGAAAAGGAGAGTGGATAGAATCCTTCAGGAGCTCAGATGATTTCGTAATTCTCAATGCTAGCCTTGCACATGGACTTGGGATGTCACTCAGTGGGCAGATGGCTCGCTCGCCCAGCATGTTTGATGGCATAGGCATGTGGTGGCATTTGCCTATAATCTCAGCACTTGGTAAAAGGATCAAGAGTTCAAGGTCATCCTCAGCTACAGAGGAAGTTCTAGGCCAGCCTGGGCTATATATGTTCCTTGCTTTTAATCAAAACAACAATGATCAAAACAAAACAAAACAACAACAAAAAAAAAAACAGCAGCATACATCTGAGGCTATAACCAAGTTACATTCAGACTCTACTATGTGGTTTTCACTGAGCAGAACAGTGGGTAAACCCTGAAAGAGCATATGTCAGCCCAGAGAAGAGTCTGGAAGATGGCATTCTTGTAGTCTTCTTAGCCAAAATAAACAATGGCCGAGTCAGATCAGCAAACACAGAAGAACTGACTGCGGGCCCTGAGACCCCCAAATGCCAAGCTGCAAATGACTTCTCAAAGCCACATTACATACTGACTGCCTAACGAATGAGGCACATCTAGGCGCAGACTCGCTTTCCTAATTAGGTTTTGCTTGTGGTAATAGTAAAACTTGCCTGCATTCCCCAGTCACCTCTGGAAGAGAGAGTAGCTGTAGGAGCCTGATGGGTAACAAGATAGAAAACAGATTGAGGATGCCCAAGTGTGAAGAGTTTTGTAATGAAAAGATTAATATCCGTGAGTTTATAACATCACTTCTGTTTCAACCCTCCATTCCTTCCCCTGTGCTTTCTTTTTCTTTTTGAGAATGTGTAGAAGGCTCATTAGAAGTACAGAAACAGGGCCTGGGGGATGACTGGGCGACTAAGTGTACAAGTTCCTTAAGCATGAGGACCTGAATTTGGATTCCCGGCACTCAGGTGAAAAACAGGCATGGCCTTGCACACCAGAAGCTTGAGTGGCAGACAGCCTAATCAAAAAGCACTGAGCTTCAAGTTCAGTGCAAGAGACCTGTCTCAAGGTAATAGTGTGGAAAAGGACAGAGCCAGATACCTGATGTCCTCCCCTTGCGTCCCCAGGGCACGAGCACACCTGCACATACAAATGTACACAGGACAGACAGACACACACACACACACACACACACACACACACACACACGCACACACACACACGCACACACACACACGGATATGTGTATTGCAATCTTCATGAAATCATGGTTTGTGGGAAGGGAAAGAAAATACTATAGTTTATTGATTCCCTTCAAAAGGCTGTATCACATAAATTGTTTTTATCTTTGCTCAAACACACACACAAAAAGCACATATTATTACTCTAGACGTGAGAAACCTGATGTTTGGAGATATTTACATAATGTACAAACAGTTCAACTTTTAATTTGAATTAAGACCTGCAGCCTTTCCAGTATATAATGGCTCTAGCCTTTTGTATTCCCGCCTGTCAACCCCAGTGAGTGGGGACCAGAAGTCATGGGGGCCACTGTTTTGGATTCGGCCCCAACAGATTGGACCAAACCAGAATGTAGCTGCTCCTGTTGAATGCTGTAGAATCAAAGTAAAAGCTCAAGGAAATAGACACTTCCCTCCAAAGGGACCAGATTTTCCTGAAAACAAGAAATTCCGGTCTGTCTGAATCAGCAAGAAGCCCTTGGTTTTAACCTTTTCCATAGCAGCAGCCCAGAGGATGCTACACTGCAGTAGCGGCTCTACACTGCAGAGCAGAGAGACCAGCTAGTCCAAGGCTAGGGTAGTGTTCATGGGAGAATGAGCTATGGGGGGTATTGGTGGACGGGATGTGAATATTCAGGGTGGGAAAAACAAGCCATGAGGGGAGCAAGATGCTCTTTGTGACCTGGAGGAGGAGAGCAGAAAACGTAACCCCCACGGTCACCAGGTGGAGAAGGACGGTCCATCAAGCCCCATGATAGTTCCGAAGGACTTTATGGGAATAAGAAATCTAGGAAGAGGCCCAAGTGCAGGCTGGGGCTTTGTAGCTGAGATTAAGAAACTATCTTGAGGTGGCCAGGAAAGCAGAAGTAAGAGGACCTTGTAATAATCAATCTTAGGAGCTAAGACACACAAGTCAGGTTATTTATTTGGTTGAGGTAACCGGAGAAA